TATTCTACCACTCCATATTCCTCCCTATACAATTTTCATACTCTCATGTGTATAATCATACTACTTACCACTTTGGTTCCCACAATGAAAATTATAGACCGTTGCGCCCGGAACATGACAACACCGCATATCAGATTTTCTTTGCTCGATTTGGAGGATTTAGAGTGATTGTCAACCAAATTACTCATCACCAATCGAATCCTTAGAAAATTCACTATGTCTGAGTGTTGGACTTTTTTCAGAAGCATGCCCAGTTTACATTTAAAAGAAAATTTTGAGCTGTTGCCAAATTGCCGTCGCAACGGTCTATTGTGTCTTGAATGCTTCCAAACGGCAACCTCAGAGCACTCAGAGGATAATCAAATTGCATGCCAAGCGTAAGATCATATTCTAGGCAAAACTGAGACATGCGCACAAAACGACAGAGTTAGTCCACATTGAAAAACATTACAGGCTGGAATAGAAACAAAATAATTATTAAAACTGTTCTCACTATATCAAAAAAAGTCCTCTCATGTGTGAATCCCAAACTCTTACCAATAACAAACCCGCAATTCTACTCAATCTCAATACAACAGATCTACAAGTTGCCTCACAATGACAGGAGTAACTTCTTATTCACAGAGGGTAATAGTGCTGCCATTGCTCACATCCTATAAAAACAATGTGGATAGAGAACACTTTAATACACATACTTGCTCTCTTATCCAAACAGAACTTTAAAGGACAAGATGTCAGGCAATACAGACTTACCCTTGAACACGATCCTTCCTCCTATTAATAAATCCATGGCTCAAGTGGTGGATTTGAAAATTAATGTGCCAATCGCATCAGAATGGACAACTAGGAGGGAAAAGTAAAACATTTCAAGTCAGTGGGCACACAACACTTTGCAAAAAGGAACAAAAATCTATAGAAAACACATTCATAATTAAATAATCTTACTGTTGTAGACTGCTTGCAAAGTTATATAACTCTTCCAGGTTAAACGATTAAAGACGAGCAAATCCTGAACACTTATCCTGAATCAAAACAACGGTTATAGTACCACAACAAATAGACCATGAAGTAATTTCAAATATCATGATAAAACTAAAACAACACTCACCCACATTGCTCTCTCACATCTTTAACCACTCTCATTGGATAACTTTCACGCAAACGTCTCCAGAAATAAAACCGACATCTCAAACTCATCAACTTCATGCCTGCCAAACACAGAAAAGGTTAGAACACAAAAAAATGCACATTTCAATGGATTCCCTGCCTTCGACAACGATTTTAAGACGCACACACGCGAAATACACAATATTTCCCTAAACCCTGCTCTTGACTGTGGGCATTGAGTGGAACAAAGTACACCGAAACCTGATTTTGGAGTCCGTCACGAAAGCAAAATTATGACGAGGCGTCAAGAAAATAATAAATAACGCATAGAAGAGACACGATTACCCCGAACGAACGAAATTGAGAGAGAAATGAGTGAATATTGACATGCTACAAACCGTCGCTAAGAGGTTAGGTGGCCCCCACAAACAAATACCAAAATACGAGCTTCCCAACTTCACAGAGGATTGAAAATTACACCGAAACCTCAACCAGAACATGACTCACCGCAAATCACACCCAGCACGCACATTCCTACTCAAAAACCATTGAATTTCACAGTGTGAAAGTTAGCGAGCCGAGGCGGACCCTCTCCACTTGGACGGCAAGTCCAAACTCGCTCGACTCCCGGCTCTGCCACATCAAAATCACTCTCGCGACCGCGACACCGTTCAACAAATAACAATTACAGAACTTCGAGTCAATTTTTTTTTAAAAAAAATAATCCGACAGACAAGTCTAGAACTAGGACAAGAACAGCTCACAGAAACATGGTTTCAATAAAGCATTCCGGTAGAGCTGAAAAGCAGAAGAATGCGAGGAACAAGAAAACGGAAGTCACAATGTTTACGCATAGCGATTTCCGTTTTCTCCTTCTTCGCATTCTGAGTTTTCACTTTCGTCTATCGGGCGCCACCGTTTCTCTGGAGATTGTTATGGTTAGTCGGTTAGTGTTTTTGCTCTGCTGTTGCTGGTGAAGAAATGTCGGTGATCATCAAACGGTACGTTTTAAAACAATGAATAATAAATGCTGTGATTTTGATGTGGTTCTTTTCATTGAAAGCTTACTTTGTCTTTAGGTTGGAGCAGGAGACAATGAGGGTAGGGACGTGATGCTCCGCCCGAGCTGCCGGCGAGCCTCCGCGCCAAAGTCGCACCGCCGTCTAAGTGAACAACAACTTGCGTGGATTGATGTTTTACTTACAATATAGGCAATTTTCTATCATATTTTCTCTCTGAGCAGTGCAGGATTTTCTTCCTTTCGTGGTTTGGGGTTTCCGTACTGTTTTTGTGGTATTATGTGAACATAAACCTTTGTCAACAAACATAACCATAACCCCTGAGAGAGACCGCTCAGACAGGAACTTACGAACTATCAGAAAATTAAAGGACTTCGAGAGGACTTGTGGTATCAATCGAGTCAATGGTTAAGTTTCACTCTCCGAGATCGGATCCTTTTACTTCAACGAGACGGAAAAATGCTTAAAAGTTGAAAAATAGTAGCGGTCCCGTCGAGGGCCTGCATCGTCTGCTATTGCCCCTACCGCACCGTTCCCCTCCACCAGCCCCCACCCTAGCCCCGCCGAGCTCTTCGTCCCGAGCCTGGCCGAAAGCGGCGAGTCCCGAAAGACTGTTTTTACAAGGTCTTTCCATAAAATTTCATTGATTGAATTGGCTTTTGGCCTACGACCAACAGAACCTGTATCTTTGCCCTACAAGAAAATCTAGGTCTTTTTAAAAGTTATTCAGCCAGTTTTTATCTTACTGTAAGTTTACTTCGGCCTGTAACACGACCGCCGGAGGGAGGTAGGGGTCCCTACCCATTGTCTCCTGGTTGGAGGGAGAGTTGAGAGCTGTGAGGGCGGGATTGCCTGTTGGGGTTTTAAGGTAATTTTTGGTTACACATCCAATGTCTTGATATTTTTATTTCCGTCGTCTTAAGTAATTTATTCTTTAATTTACTAAATAACTTCTTTGAGTGTGTTTCTAATCTTATTCCCCATTCCTCTCTTACAGTCTTGGACCAGTAGGCAATGGCGAAAACCTTATGAAATGGGAGGCAACAATCGCTGGCCCTGAGGGGAGTCCTTATGAGGGGGGCGAGTTTCAACTAACAATCGATATTCCTCTGACATATCCCCTGAATCCACCAAAGGTAAGGCATTTTTGTGTAAATCCATCGTCACCAAGTGTTAATCTAGACGGCAACCATTTTGCACTTAGTTCAAGAAAGTGCTGGATAAAATTTTTATTGAAATCACTTTTCATTTACTTTGTAAATGTAAAAATTTGTGTTCTGTTTTTTTGATTTCTTATCTACAGGTATTATTTCGAACGAAAGTCTACCATCCTAACATTAGCTCGTCTGGGATGATTTGTTTATCAACTCTGAAGAAAGATGCCAAAGAAGGAAGGTGGGCTCCAGCAACGAAGCTTCCAATGCTTATGATTGCTATTCAGTCCCTTCTCAGTGACCCCAACCCAGGTAATACAAATTCATCACTTAAGTAATCTTATCTTGTGAAAGTCAAATTTTCTTACAAAATACAGTTCAGACATTTGTATGCTAAATATAGAAAGTAGACCTGTTTATTGAACTGACTATTGTCTGAAGAATTCCGTTGCTGTTAAAAATAATTGTCAGCTGATGCCATACTGCGTAATTAGACGCTTGATTTAAAACTATAGTACTGTTGTTATTTTTACTGTCCCGGAACTTAACATATTTTTTGCCTACTAGCCCAGATAAGAATACTTCTATGTACCAATGTTCTACTTGATAAGAAAAGTGATGTTAATTCTTTTAGGAACACTTTTTCGTTCAAAGCAAACCACTTTCGATTTTGAGTTGTTTTTTTTAGTTGGATTGATTTTTTTTTTTTGGGGGGGGGGGGCTAGACATAAATGACTCTCTTTACACTCAAACTTTGTTTGTGAAATATTTGTTGTTTTGTTGGTGTTGTGTGACAGGTGTCTTTTGAGACGATGAGCTTATGAAAGTTTCCTCACAAATGTAATTTTGTTGCAGATGATCCTATTGTGCCATCCATTGGAGACCAATTTAAAGAGCAAAGGGCAGAATTTGATAGAATAGCACGAAAATGGACAAAGTATTATGCAACTCCAAGTGCCTGAATCTAATGTCAGGATGGAAAGACAATCAATAAATTCTTGCACTCCATTCTGTTTTCTCTGTTTCTGTATAATACAGCTTCCTAATTAACAATTGAAATGTAACTAAACACACTTCAAATTTTGAATCATAAATGGCAACTATTTTTAGGTTTCGTAGGATGCTGAACTATGTTACTGCAGCTTTAAAGCAATGAGAGCAATTTAGGGTTTGGTCAAAGAGTTTATTTCTTGGCAGGGAAGTCCACTGTCCCTGAGCGTTAGGGGCCTCTCTCAGGTCGCTGTGTTCTGGCAGGTGCGGGACAGGTGGGGCTGCTCCGTAACTTATTACTTAACTGCCTGTAACGTTATTTTAATAGGCTTAGTTGTAATTTTCAACTTTTACTGTGGTCCTTTGGAAATAAGTGAGTTATTCGACCCGTACAACCCGTACATGATCCGACTCGAGTTCGTCGGTAAACAGCCGCAGTAGCCAAAAATGTCATACGTAGAACGCTCTAAGTACAGTTAGAGAACAGGGAGTACACCCTGCGTGCGCGGAGTGGATTCGTAGTACAACACTCCTTGTACACAGGAGTACGCAAGTTGTCGATCCTTTGGCGCCACCCTCGAGGCCCTCGGGGCCTCAATGGCCGCTACGGGTCCCACAGCCAGCGATCCACTTCTGTGTGCACGGAGGCGTCTGTTGCGGTAGGCGCCGCAGTCGATGCGTTGCAGGGAAGGGCCTCTGTCGAGGGGTCGACGAATGCGTCCCGAGCTGACAGTACTCTTGTCTGGATGTACTCCGCGTACTCAAGATGTACTCCGAGCTTACTTCAGCTGTAGTGCGGGTTCCGGGTGAATTTCCCGATCCATCTGCGAGCGTTACTCCAAGTGGGCAGGTGGGGAGGCCTTACCCCACCTGGAGCACGCTCCCTGCCGCGCAGAAACCGCGCCGCCAATCAGCTAGCCGCCCGTGCGCACCAAGCAAGAGGGATAAGTTTGTCTACTCCCCAGAGGGAAGGGCATCGGGGACTGATCAGTCCCTCCACGGATGCATTCGTTGGGCAGATG